CGTTAAATGCGTTGTGAGTGAAAGTGGTCAGTATGTCATTGTGTTGTGAGTGCATGTAAAGATGTAGGGAATTTGTCGTAGGAAAAACTGTAGAGAATGAGTGGGGGAATGTCGTGTGAGTGAATGTGTTGTGAGAGAATGTGTGAGGGAAAGTATTGTGAGTTAATACATGAGGGCGGGGGGAGGCCAATACCTTGCAAGTGCATGTGTGAGGAAAGTGTTTGGAGGAATGTGAGGGGAATGTGTGGTGGGAGATTGTGAGGCGAATGTGTTGTGAGCGGTTGTGTGGGGAATGTGTTTGGAAGAATGTGAGGGGAATGTGTTGATTGTGAGTGGATGTGTGTGTAATGTGTTGTGAGAGGATATGAGCGGTAGGTGTTGTGAGAGATTTATGGGAAATGTGTTGTGAGTGATTGTGTGGGGAATGTGTTTGGAGGAATGTGAGGACAATGAGTTAATTGGTCGCTTTTAAGGACAAGCGGGCTAACCCAGATTTCGGGGGTTTCCAAAAATCTTGATCTACACCAAAAGTGAGCATGAAGGAGAAGTTTGGTTTCAATGATGTTTATATTTGTTTGGTTGGAGAGAAAACTCTCCTTGTCTTTTAAAGAAACTGAACAAGGGGCAAAACTTTACCTTCCATTTTCTCAAAACAGCATTTTTCGGGGCAGCCCCCTTGTGCTTAAAAGCTACCAATTGAGAGTGGATGTGTGGGCAATATGTTGTGAGTGATAGTGCTGTGAGTGAATGTGCGGGGGTGCTTCCATGCTTGCTTAGCAAATATATGAGAAATGTGTTTTAGTGAGTGAACGAGTATCCGGTGTGAGCTTGAGATTTGAGTAAAGAGAAGCACATCGACACAACAATGGATCATTTAATGCTGGGTAAAAGTAAGACAAATAGAGAGACAGAAACAACAGAGGGAAAGTTAAGAAGTAGGACCCACCAGTGGCGCCCTCCAACCACGTATGAGATGTGCGTGACATGGTGGGGAATGTTAAGTGACCCTGTTGGAAGTTAGTGTATGAGTTTAACACCCCCTGTCAACACTTTTATGTTATTTGAGAGGCGGGAACTTCATATTTAACGTCCGTCTCCGTTAAGACCGAGCCAGACGGATTGAGCGTCTTGAAAACTCTTCAAAACGATATAAGTTCAAGAACGCCCAGTCTGGGACTCGAACCAGGGCCATCAGCTCCACAGTCCAGTATGATACCAACTGAGATAACAGAGCGCCCACCTTGTTGGAAGTGTCTTACGAATAAATTAATTCACGAGGAACGTACTTTGGAAAAAGGACCGCACAAAAGGAATATGAGCGCGATGTGAAATTCCAGGAAGTAGTAACTGTTCAAGGATTTTCTGGCGTGACTTTTAACGCCCAAATACACGTCATAGCCCGAAAAACGTGCTTTTTTGCGGTTTTGAGTTTTAGTTTTAGAAAAGAGATAGACATGGACACAATCTCGGTCATATGGTGCAGGGTAGAAGCAAGGCAGATAGACAGAACCTAAAGAGGAAAAGAAAAGAAGTAGGTAGGACCTATCAGTGGCGCCCTCCAACCACCCATGTTTTCACGGCGAAACGCTCGGCCCAGTGGTAAAAAAGAAAAGAAAAAGGAAAACAGCAAGATGCTTTGAGACAGGTAAAAACAACCTGCAGAGGCGATCAAATAAGATGTGCACAGTTCCTGTCAGTGGACTGACCAAAAAGTAGCGTAGAAACGAAAAACAAACAAACAAAAAACTTTGACAGGGACTTTCAAAATATGTTTTTTTTTATCACCGTTGTAAACTGTCTCTAAGGAATAAAACAAAACAACAGTTTTACGACTGGCTTTCAATTTCAAGCTGTGTATCAGGTTGGCCGTTGAAAGGTAAACTAATTCTTCTTCTCTTTTTGGGAAAAAGAAATAGAGAAACCATAAAAAAATCTAATAAGAAAAAAAAATAAATAACAGTTGTCCGGAATACAATGACATGTACGGAATCCAATGACATATACAGAATACAATGACATATATATGGGTATTATGTACATTCGAACCAGGGTGACAGGTGCCACGGCCCGCGAGACGTAAGCGGAGAAAACGACCTGATCTCAGAGTTTTATTTATACGGGGTGCCCACTACGGCTGGATCGGGCCGATCGCCCGACTCAATCTCCTGAAACTGAAAACAAACACGTTTGTTTTTTAGGTGATCGAGTCGGGCGATCGGCCCGATCGGCCGATCCTACCCGTAGTGGGCACCCCGTATTGCAATTTCCTGGCACCCCGCGCTGTTCTGAGCAGCTACACCTTAGTCTCTGTATTGATCTGCTGATAAGCAGAAGTCAGCTACCATATTAACATACGTAAACGTTTCCGTCCGTCAAAAAGAAAAGGGGGTCACCGGCCTTCACTCTCTCCCCGGCCACTATTTACACGCGTGTCTGTCTGTCTGTATGTCTGTCTGTCTGCCCATAGTATACGTACGTCCTTGAAATCACAGACCACATTATCTTGTGTGCATCATATATACCTGTTCGCGTACACGCGTGCGTACGGGGGTAATGTGGGAGGGGTATTTTTATTTTTCTGAGAGAGAAAGAAAGAGA